ACACACAAAGATATTTCTAGATAAAACCCCATTTGTGTAGTTGGATTTTTGACATTTTTAGTTAGTTTTAGTAGTAAATATCCTTGCTATTTATTTTAACAAATGACTTTTTTTGAAAAGCGAAAGGTTTGCCAACTCTTTGATATGACTATTTTGTATGAAGCAGTTTTGAATACATAAGTACATCCGGGGCTAGTTGTCACACTTTTACTTCACAGTGAATAATCCTACGGAATCCTACGAAGTCAATTTTCTGAAAAGTCTTGGCTATGGAAACAGCATTATTGCTGAGGACAAAAAAATACAGTATATTTAAAATCCCCCAGTAGTCAATAATTTTATCCCTTAAAACTCATCTTTGATAACCAAAATTACATATTTAAACGTTTTTTCTTGTGAAATAATAGTAGGCCTATCCATGCCTTAAAATAGCTTGAATGCAACACTGTAAAAAAAATTGCTGTAGTTTTGCAGCTGGTTGCCAGTAACTTACTGTAGATTTAAATTGATGTATATTTACTGGCAACAGTTTGTTCAAAGTTAAATGAACATTAAACATTAACAAGTCTTTGTCTTTACAGAATAAAATTATAAAATAACAATCTAATGCAAAGCATTCTGGGAACCAGAAATCTTCATCAACCGTTTTCTGTTTTTTTCCTTCAGATTTTGGTTCCCAGAATGCTTTGCATGAGGCTGTTATTTTAGTTTTATTCTGTAAAGATAAAGACTTGTTAATGTTTAATGTTCATTTAACTTTGAACAAACTGTTGCCACTAATTAACATCAATTTAAAACTACAGTAAGTTACTGGCAAACAGCTGCCAGTAATACTGTAATTTCTACAGATTTTTTTTACAGTGAACTCTATACCCTTGCCTCATTTAGTGTACGAGGATCAATGAATATGCTAATTAGCCCCGCCCCCACTCACTCACACCAGCTCAGAGATCTCCTCGGCCAACCTATGCCCTGTCCCAAATGGAACCCTAAGCACTCGCGGTCTTCCTCTGAGTCCGCACTTTCGCGACGTAACGCCGCTTTGAATGTCGGGAAGAAGTCTGCTGTGGAGTCCGCATCAGCGTGGGCTCGGCAAAAGTGCGCATCAAGGGCGCAAATCGACCGCAGAGGGGGCGCCGCCCGCACGTTGATGTGATTGGTTACAAAGTAGTTTGTGACGTCAGAAACACCAGCGATTTCAAATCGCGTTTTTGAGACGTTAGGCTTGTTCACTTCATAGGTTCGACTTTATGCGGCTCTGCGCAGACACGATCGGCGGCTGGCTTGAAGCAGTCCATGCTGGTTAGAAATGTTGTTCAATTGAGACAGCAACATGACAATGTTGCTCTTATTTTAAGCAACATTGTCATGTTTATCAAAATAAAACTGATTTTAAAAAGTAGACTCCACTACATTGGTATTTAAATACTATAGGCTTATGTTGAACTTTATTCTTGTACACACAGGTGCTGTATTAAGCAGTACATGCATGCTGGGTATTAAATGGAAACATATCTGAAACGTCTGTGTATATTGTATTTATTTCCGCTGTGATGCAAACACCATGTGAGCGGTCACTATGGGAAGTAGAAAGTGTCCGATTCTGTGACAACATGCCCCAATAGTTTTAAAAGAAAATTTTAACTAGATGTTTGTAAAAAAAAAAAAAATTGGAAAATTGGATTTTTGCCTTCAACCTTTATAGTTACTAAGATAGATTTTCCCAGTGTGACAACTAGCCCCAGTCTTGAAGAAACAAGCAAATATTTCCAGTAGTACAGATTTTTTTCTATGTATTATATCAATTTACTTTTGTTGAAAAGCGAACAGTTTGACATTTCTTTGAAATGACTATTTTGTACGAAGCATTCTTAGATACATCCGCAAACTCCATGAAACTCAATCCTACAATTAGTCAATAGACATTGCGGTGAAAAAGAAAAATCAAAATATGAGCGTGCAGTGGTCTGTCCAAAGTCTTTACCCTACAATAACGGAGTATTACCACTGTCTAGCCCTCCCTTCTAGTCTAGTCAGCTAGAGACTTGACGCAGATGGAACCAGGGTAGACCTACAACAGCTGGTATAAGTCTATAAGCTCATAACAAAATGGATCAACGGGCGCAGCAATACGACAAGCCACCGAGACTACGGTCGGACGCTTTACGGATATTTTAGTCTGTGGTGCTTCGGGAAATGACTGGTCTTATTAAACGAAAATCACAGAAGGTTAAGCAGCTGCAAAGCTTCTGAGGTATTTAAAAATCCCCCCCCCCCCCCTCTGACTGTGCATAAGACTTCCTGGTATGGATTAGAGACTGCAGCTACATGTGGTGTTGTGGCTACATACCTTCAGTCAGTCAAAAGCTCAAAACCCAATCTGGTGCTGAGTTTTCCCTCTCCCCAGGCCGAGAATCGCCAAAAGCAAAGTGGATGATGGAGACAGGGAACGGAAAGGAGAAAAAGAAAGAGATCAATATGAAGATAAAGTGAGCAAAACTTCACTGGAGATGAATTGTGGAAAAACGGGAGAGAATGATGGGGGAGACGGGATAGATCGGGCGTTTAGATGAAAGCACAGTTCACTGAGATGAAAGAAAAAAGAAAATCAACCTATGACACACAATCTTTAAGAAATATCACCCTCAGCTCTTATTGGGCCATCACACTCCCTAGAGCAGTGGTTTCAGGGAGGGCCGAGAAGGTGTGTGTGTGTGTGAGAGAGAGAGAGACGACGTATAGTCTTGGATTTCTCTCACCAGAAACATAAGCCAAAAGAGAAATCTGTGCTTTTAAAGCTATACATTTCTGAAACATTACATTCCATGAGAGGAAAACATTGGCTAACCCCTCATTTGGCTCATAGTCTCTCAAAGGGTCTGTCTAAGCTGAAACATACCTAACCACTCGACGTTCTGGTTTCTAACCAATGTGGCAACAATTAAAGACATATGTGGATTTTCATATAAGAAGCTTTCTTAAGTCATGCATATCTGCATAGTATCAAAACTTATTTGGCCTATTTGGTTCATTTGAATTCTAACCAATATAATATTGAAAGGAAAATATGGTGCAGGTATCCGACCTGATCTCACGGGAAAACGCAACTATGTTACAAGGAGGTGATTTCTGAATGATTTTGTACAATGTGTGAATAGTACAAAAGCATACGATTGTTAGAAAAAAAGTATGCATGAAGGTCCGCACCCCTAAACAAACCCGTCACCGGGGCGCAAGCAGATCCTATCAAAAACCTACTAATGAAATCATGCAAATTCATACGAATTAGCCATCATTCATCAAAACGAAAAAATGTTTAAGAATTAGCATGAGAATGTTGACATCATGTATTATTTTCATTTAAAAAAATCATCACTATCATAATGCATCCTCCTGAGGTGGCAGTGGAAGTAAGTCTCCATATTCCCTCAATAGTGCATTTTTTGTCATTCAATATACTATATATGTATATATGTGTGCATATATGTATAGTTGTATGCAAACAGAATAAATACATTCATAAATCTCTGTCTGCAGTTTCCTCTGGGTGGTTCAAGTCTTAAGGGTGGTCTTATCCTATCCTGTCCTATCCGGACGGGATTCGATTTCAAAGAACCTGAGTGAGCCACAAGGCAGTAATTTTCCAATTCTCAACCAAATGGGAAAAACAGTCCATTTGTTCATGAATTGGGCAACAGTGGTTGTTTTTGACTCAACTGGTTCATAAGAGTCATTTGTTAATGAAGCTGACTGACTTTATCACTCTATATGCTTGATAAAAATAAAAAAGTGCCATGATGCACCAATGCAAATGGAAAGCCTACAATATTTTGAAGATATAGATGTGATGTGACCTGAATTCCTTTATTAGCTAAAAGGTTGGCTAAATGGAGGCATTTGCAACAGTCCAAGTCTAAGCCATCTTGCAAGAGAACTGACACTCACATACAGTATATTTGAAGAAACTGCTGCCCCCAGCTGATCAAAAAACAGTAATACACCATTCGTTCTGAGTATATTCTATGAGATATGTGATATTAAGAATAGAATAAGATTCATTTTCAGAGAATTATTTATTACCAGCAGGCAAAAGCCACCATTCTCTCCAGCAAGGTTCAAACTACACTCTAAAGCTTTAAGCTGGACTGAAATCAAGCACATGATTCAGACTCTTAAAAAATATCCTCTACAGGCATCGTATAAGGTGATTTATAATGGTGGGGTTAGTGCATTACACACACATAAACTTTTAATCACATAAATATTGAGTAAAGCAGTGCACTTCCAATCTATTGCATTGAAGATTTTCATTCTTAAGAATAAGCTTCACTTAATTCATTTAATCTTTAAATATTCTCCAATTATCCAATAGCATATGGGAATTCAAAACAACAATTTGTGTAAGCTACAAGGTGTGTGTGTCCTAACAAATTGCTCAGAAAAAGTCCCTTTATATACCGACTGCAGTCTAGAAGCCACATATTTCAACAAATCAAAATTCTTCTTAACTATCTAAGGCAAAACAGCAGCGAGAAGCATTTGGTCTGGCATTAGACGTATGTTGAGTAAATATCTTTGTAAATGCTCGAGTTGACAGCTGAAAGAGTTTGACAGACCTGTCTTGACAGCGTATGGCTAGAGGTTGAAAGAGCAGATGTTTACGATAGTATTGTGGGTTATAAAACGAGGCCTTGTGTAACAGTCTGGAATTTCTGCTCTGTTTGGAGCTTAATAAACAAAAGCACTTTAATACAAGGTATATTATATCACTATAATATACACAATGTGGGGGGAAATCTAGTATAAAAGAAAACTTTGAGGCACATTTCCTACAGAGAGATTGGTTGGGAAATATATATTTTTGCATATTGTGTGTATATAGGTGAATATGCACTTTAAAGTTTTCGTGGGTATATATATGTGGCATCACCAAATTCATAATTCAATTGAAGAGGTTTATAATTCAGCAAGCAATGCAGCAATAAAGGCCTCTCAAAACGAAAAGAAAAATAATCAGAGGTTTATGTTGGGTGCAATTAAAAACAACCGTCTCTTAAAATCGAATTATAAAAACAATAATCAATCAGAGTTCAGTTCAGTTTGGTAACACGTGACTGAATGGTGACTCGTCTTACAGGGGTTTGATTTGCGTTGCGATTGGCTACTAGCTCCTGTAGCTGCAGAGCTCCGCCTCCAATGAAACAGAATGCAGGGCACACGGGGGCGGAGCAGTCCACAGGTCCCTCCCATAGTGGGCGGAGAGAGTGGGCATCGTAAAACGTGACACGGCCCTTCTCAAAGTCGAGACAAACTCCTAGTCTCGGAGGCAATGGATAGGTAACGCCGGTTGGCGAAGAAGGGCTGTTGCCATTAGTGAAGCCAGATTCTCTGCCGTGATGGGAGTTGGCGGAGGAGGGCAGGTAGATCTTGCCCATGCCCATTGTGAGGAAAGCGAAAGGGGGAGGGGAATCTGACGAATCCTCGGCTCCACTGTCATGGCCGCTGTCTGGATCATATCTATCAGACAGAGAAGATGAGGTTAAAGTCAGCATGAAAAATGGTTGAAATCAAGTACCATTCATTTTCCTCTTTAAATATGCGTTTCACTTGGAAATGGTGTGTCTTTTTAGTGTTGCTTTGAAACATGGTGGAAACACTGTATATAATATAGATCAGGGGCCGTATTCACAAAGAATTTTGTCTTACCACTAGGAGTACTCCTAAATCGCACTAAAATATTTTAGCTAGGAGTTTTCTCTTAAAAGTTATTCACAACGTCTTTCAGACCTACTCTTAGTAAGGAAAAATGACAACTCCTAAACTAAGAGTGAGTCTTCGTTGCTATGGATGACGTCAATTCTCATGCACGAGCTTCCTCGTAATGATCACGGTGATTGGTTGTTAGATGGCAGGGCCATCATGCGGAACATAACACAGACGCAACAAATCATGGAATTACGACATCTAAATATGTCTGTGTCCTACACAAAATAATAATAGTAATGACATCGAAATGCATATGACATGTTTGTGCAGGCCCCAGTGAAGTGTAATTCTAAAAAGGCAGAGAGAGAGAGAGAAAAGTCGTGAATTCAATTAAATCAAGGTAATACCCTAATGAAAATCGTCACTTGCCTAATAATGAAAAAACGACACTTGCATTAACACTTGCTTGGTTAATTGACATCCTATTAGCCTAAATAGACTACTTAAAGCAAGGAAATGTTGCTCCTATTGAAGTAATGTAATAGTTGATTTACGGTGGATTATGAACTTGCCAAAACTTAAAAGAAAGCCCAACTGGACGCAGGATCAGTTACTGCTGCTGGCCCAGTTGGTGGCTTGGTGCTGAAAAAAAGTAATAATGATAAAAGTGAAATTCGGCACTGGGATATCAAGCAAAACTAAGCGTGGGAATGGGAGAGGATTTGTTTGCAGATCAATGCAGCATTCCCGCTTGTGTCGCGGACCCCGGACGACTGCGAGAGGCGCTGGTGTGCGCTACAATCCTTTGTGAATAGGTCTTAGTGAGTTAGGAGTCCTCTCGACTTCTTTTAAGCTGTCCCAGACTTAGGTGCTACTTTTAGGGCTAAAATGCTTCGTGAATTACTCTTAGTGAAAAAAATTAGGAGTCCTAAAGTTAGGAGTGACACGCCCATTATTTTTAGGAGTTGCTCCTAAATTCGCCAGTTAGGAGCTACTTTTAGCCTTAAAATTCTTTGTGAATACGGCCCCTGGGGTTTTCAAACTGGGGTCCGGGGACTTCTAGGGAAGTGATAGGGGGTCCGTGGAAATGTTTAAAGAATTATTCTTTTTTTAAATAAGATTTAAAAAGTAATGGATAATAAATAAATAATAAAAAGAATATTAAAATAAATTAAAACTAAAATTTAAATAGTACTACAGTGAGTAGGGGAAAAATATAAGAAACAAAATATTTTCCAAATAATATTTGACACATATTTATTAATTTCACAGTATAAATTGGGTCTTTATACATAAAAAGTCATAGGCCTTTTCTAATTTTTGGATGGGAGTCCCTCACATGAGATCATATTTGGGGGTCGGTTGCATCTAAAAGATTGAAAACCCCTAATATAGATAATATCATATGTATAATCTATATAGAGAGATCAGTTAACAGAAAGCAAGTCTGTATAATTCATTAATCATTCATGCTTTTACATTTTGTTGTGTATAAAGATAAATAAGTGAAAGAATGGATATTTTCCATCATTTTGAATTCAGATGTGGTTATTTGGGTTTATTCTTTATAATGCTTTTCATTTCTATTGTAGTCATAATTTCAATAGTTATGGTCATGATAAAACCAAAACTGAAGGTAATAGGTGTCATATCTTAACATTAACATATCTACTTTCTCTTCTCATGGTTATTTTCTGTTCTCTCCCGTTGTTCATTTCTGAGATTCAGTACGTACCTTGGACTAGCCATGTCTTGAGGCAGATGAAACCACTCTTGAAGTTTAGACTCCAGGCCCACTCCAACCTGTAGAATATAGAGAGAAAAATGAGAGGGGAGGCACGGGAGAAACGGTTAATATAGTTCTCCATCGTTGCAGAACTTGCCTTGACCAGATATGAGCCTGGCTCCACTGAGCATGCCCAATAGTGTCGGCCCTGCGTTATGGCCACGTCCCCCACGAGCAGATCAGCTGTCAGGTGACAGGAAGTGAGGGCCCGATCGGCGGCCTGCAGCAGGGACAGACCGGGCACACTGCGGGCACAACGCTGCTCCTTACTCACCACCAGTCTGTCCGCGTGCAGACCCCAACGAGAGTCCAGGTAAAAATTCAACACTGCCGAAGAGGCGGAGGGAGACAACAGCGAGGGAATACGGGAGAAATTTTGAGGAGGATAGAAGAAGAGGGGAAAGAGGGACACAGAATTAAGCACCAAACGGAGGGAGGTAAGAGTGGGTGGAAAAGGAAGAATATAGATATATGCAAAAGGGGGACATAGCATAAAAACAGCAATCAGGAAAACAGTAAACAAGGAAAAAAGACATAGAAATGCACTCTGGGAATAGCAGGGTGAAATCAAGACTGCAAAAAGGAGGAAGATTTGCGTTCCAGCAGACAGGCAGAGAAGAAAAAGTGTATTTCCTATTTTAATTTGTTTTCAAATGTAATTTATTGCTGTGATGGAAAAGCTGAATATTCAGCATCATTACTCCAGTCTTCAGTGTCACATGATCCTTCAGATTTCATTCTAATATGCTGATTTGCTGCTCAAGTAACATTTTTTATTATTATCAATGTTGAAAACAGTTGTGCTGCTTAATATTTGTGAAAACTTCTTTAATGAATAGAAAAAGCTTTTATATGCAATAGAAATCATATGTAACATTACAGATGTTCTCACATTTGTTTGTCCTTGCTGAATAAAAGTTTTTATGGTTTATTAATAATTAATTTATATAATATTTATTTTTAAACTTTTACTGTTCACGATGAAAATGTGTCAAGCTCGGCGATCTGTGTTTTTTTTTTCGATTTATCTCTGCTCGAGGTGTGAATAGGCTTTTATGACTAAAACAAGTACAGGTGTTTAAAATAAGGACAAAATTGGGGATTTTTTTTCCCGCTAATAATCTATTGTATAATATTAATAATTAGCTATAAACACTCAGAAGATAATGTTACTATTTTGTCGTGAACATCTGCCTTCTGTTTGGATGTTGCAAACCTTGGATTATTATTTGTAACATGGGCCTCCATTTAATGTGTATATATTAATAAACATTACACAGCATTAAAGTTAGCTTGTGGCCACATTTACAAAGCAGATGGGTCAACGTTCACATCAGATCAAAATATTTCACTACATCGAGGGTTTTGGGTGGAAAATAAACTTACTGGTGGATTAAAGAATAAATGGCTCAAATAATAAAAACATGAGGGAACTATAAATAAGAATAAAGATACAATATCAGAAAGAGTTTTAAGGGCTATAAAAAGGGAACAGGGAAGATGGCAGTATAGAGCTGTTGTCAATAAAGCTGGGAAACAAAACATGGAAAAACCAAAGATTGTAGAGACAAAGAGAGATGGGAATGGATAAAAAAGGAAAAAGAGAATAGATGAGTAGATGAGTATCATTTGGGAATGAATTCTGTTTGTACTATCTATGTCTTGTGTTGAAAACACTTCGTACCTGGAGCTGGTGGTGTGTGTAAATATACTTCCTCACTGTATTCTCCGAAGCCGGCCTTATTGCAGCCTCTCACCCTCAGCACATACACACTGTCCATCTCCAGCCTGTCAATCACAGCGCAGGTCCCAGTCACCTCCTCCAATCTCTGCCAGCCCCAGCGAGCGGCAGCCAATCCCCCGTGAATCCCTCCTCTAGCCCCGCCCCCTGGCACCACCCCACGCCGCCGGAACTCCACAGAAAAATGCCAGGCAGGAGAGGAGTCTTGAGGCAACCGCCAACAGAGGAACAGCTGGTCGTAGGCAAGGGTTCGCTGGGTGTCGATCACAGGAGCGAGAGGGGCTGATGGGATAGGTCACTTTCGGTTAGGGTTAGATTGTGTGACACTTCGGACTCTTTTCTGTCATTAAAATTTGTTCATTTATAAAAATACAGACACATTTTATTAAAAAAATGAAGATTCAGAAAGCTTAAAGGTGCAGTGTGTAAATTTTAGCGGCATCTAGAGGTGATGTTGCGAATGGCAACCAACAGAAGTTACGGTGGCCGACGGGAAAAGATGTCATCGTCTGAGACTCCAGAGAGTAGCCGGTTAACCAATGAGGTTTCTTTACAAAGATAAAGTAAGAAATTACGTTTACTTAATTATTCAGTAAAACGATATGTTATTTGCGAATATTATTGTTACTTGTTCATTATTGTGTCAGTATTTTATTCGCTGACTTTAGCTAGCTTCTTTGAACGAAGAACAACATAGTAACGAAACGCGTTTGTCCGTTCAGGGCTACTGTAGAAACATGTCGGCAGTTTCAATGTAAGGGGACCCGCAGTGTATCTAGATAGAAATGGCTCATTCTAAATACATAACGGTTCATTAAGTAAGGTCTTTATACACCACTAAAAACATAGTTATGTATATGATATTGCATTTCTGTCAACGGATCCTCCTAAATTTTACACAATGCATAATAATTTAGCCCTGTTGTATCTACACAATTATGTGTCTGATTATTAGAGTTTTCCTACCCTGAATGAAGTTCAGGTCTGTGAGGAGTTTGAGCTCTCTGGAAACATCAAGCTGGAAGTGACGGAACGAGGGATCAGCAGACAGAGAGAAACGCTGCATAGATTCAATAGACTGGGCCAATCTGAGAAAAGGAGAAATAATAGTCCAGTGTTTTCACATTTTGGCAACAGACATCAGTAATATCAGCAAGTCGTCCCACCTGTTGTGTGTTAATCTGGCTGCGTGCACAAAACTCGATGGGTCGTTTTCTTTGAGCAGCTCTTGAGTGAAAGCCATCAAGCCGGCGTGCTCCAGCAGGCTGCGTTTTTCAGCCACCTGATTGGCCAAGGCCTCTGCCCTTCTCTGCCGCGAGCTTTCCAGAGCCTGAGCCAGCATTGTCTGACGCTCGGTTAGCAACGCCATTATCTCCTTCACGCAGAGAGAGAGCTGCTCTTTGGCTGATACGTTGTTCACCTGCGTTCATGCACACAGACAATAGCTCAGCGCATCAAACACCTGCGTTCCTTTTGTGACAGAGATGGAAAAGGTGAGCATACCTCAGTTTGAGTGACAGCATTCTCCAGTTGAGTGATCTGAGTCAACACCATGTCCTGATTGGACAGAATGTAGTTCAGCTCCTTGGTGATCTTGTCCTAGGGTTTGCAGAAACACAATGTAAATGATTTTCAACTTTCTCTTTCCGAAATTAAGAGATTAATTTAATAATCTGACAAGATGTCGATATATTTAAACAAATATGCATGGAAAACCAAACGTGTGTTTTATTCATGCGTTGATAATCATTCATATGGTACATTTACTGTATATAATAAAAATACTTTCATCCCTGGAATGTTTTAGTGGCAAGGAAAATGCAGAATTACATCGCAACGGATTCCGTTTTTGTTCAGATTTTCAAAAGCTTTCAAAACATGTATTGTTTTATGCTCAATGGATGATTCAATCATCAGGGCCAATAATTAACACTCGCCAAGTGCCAAATGCGAGCAGAAATTGGTGTTGGCGAGTTTATGAAACGGTGTCAATCGCCAGTTTTATGAACTTTAACAATGCAAAAAGGTGAGAACATGAACTTGAATGACAAGAGCTCTCTTTCACGTCTTCTTGCGCTTGAACAGACAAACAAAATGTGTCAAAATGCCCATCTTGGCAAGTATCATTGTAAACATAACGTAGTCAGGTACTGTATGTCTTAACTGAACTTAAACAATTGAGAAATAAAACAGTACGTGCAACAGTATATAGGATCCGTGCATTAGCTCTTAAAGTGACAGCAGCCTAATATTCCTTCTCCTGTCTTTGTTTTTAATGTTAATCAAACAACAAAATATAAAGAACAATCACTCATTGCTATTGACTGAATAACATTCGTAACTTTAATAAGGGTTAATCTGTTTCATGGCTGGCAAACGTATTTATGGCTAGTACATTTTCTCTAGTCACTGGCCAATGATAGGTGTGGCAAAAAGTTAGTTTTAGGACCTGACTATTATGTTCTTTAAATCTTGTGAATATTGTCATCCTAAAGAAAAAGCAGCCCTGTTAGAGTAAACATACCTCACTACAGAAGAATCACCCACAATGGAGTGTGTTTACTGGTAATTTCCTGGCTTTCAAGAGTTTATAAACCATAGATCTAAGACATGCAATAAATAGATTTGCACATCACAGCTAAACAAACTGAACACCATTGTGCAAAATGTCTGTGAGGGATAAACTCATCTGATCACACGACTTTTCTCCATTGTTCTAGCTTTTTAAAAGTGCTCCTTACTCTATAGTATACCATTAACTGTGGTACTGCATTGGCACTGCCATTATGGGTCACTGTTGTTTCATTTTAAAAAAAAATGAGAAAACAGCTGGTTTTCTACATTTGTTTGTTTAGTTGCCCATCTTTAGATTTTAAAAATGTATTAAATCAATTTCTTTAGAAGAAAAAACATGGCAACTTAATATGATACAGTCAGTTATTCCACGTACACATTAAAATAGAGGTGAATTGAAACCATACCTTGAGACTCTGGTAGGCTTGGGTGACGGGCGCGATCTTGTGACCCGTATGGACTCGGCGCAGTTTACAAAGTGAACAAAGAAGCATCTGACAGGACTTACAGTAAAACTGCAGCCTCTCCTGATCATGTTCTGGACATGTCAACACCTAGAGATATGGAAAGAAACTAAAATAAAATTTGCATCTGTATATTTAGTTGGCAAATATTCTATTTCGCTTGGTAATGCGTCATATTAGGGAAGTAAAATGGCTTGCGAATGCAGTTTCATGTTAAATGATTTGTTATCAGATCCTGGACCTCAAGGTATGAGAGGTAATCGGGTAGAAGCGTCTCACCTTTGGCCTGAAGTTCAGGGTGGGCTGCACGTGTTCGTGCTGGGCGCGGGGAGTCCCCCAGGGGTGGTAGAGTTTGAAGCACTCGTTACAGAAGCTGGCTCTGCAGTCTGAACAGCCTTTAGTGGCCTCCAGGGCCTGTGGGGGTTTACAGAACTGACACATCACAGCCACACTGCCCAGACTCACTGTGTGTCTGTACCTAGAAAAAGCAAGAGAAAGAGGCAGATTCTACAGCGAGCGTTTCTTTGTTTGCCTGTATGCGGTTTTATTCATGCCGATATAGTAATGACTCTGGGTAAGTTGTGTACTAAAGATTCTATTTAAGATTACTAGGTCATTCATCAAATAAGTAAATAAGTTTAAACACTGAAATTATATTCTATCCTATTTTATTTTATTATATATTTAAGATTACTAGGTCACTAATCAAATAAGTAAATAAGTTTAAACGCTGAAATTATATTTTATTCTATTCTATTACCGGTATATATTTAAGATAAATAGGTCCCTAATCATCAATCAAATAAGTAAATCAGTGTAAATGGTTAAATTATACTATATTTCATAACAAATATAATATTAATATGATATAATATTAAAATATAAAAATAAATATTAGTAATTTATTAAATGTATTTAAAATTCTTTTAAAAGGGATTGTACACCCAAAAAAAACCATACAGGTTTGGAACAACCTGAGGATGAGTACATTTTTGGGTGAACTATCCCTTTAAGATTACTCGGTCACTAATCAAATAAGTATAAATGCATTAAATATACTATTATATTATATTAAAATTTCATTACAGTTATGTAATATAATACAATACTGTACTGAATTGTGTATTTAAGATTCTGTTTAAGATTACTAGATCACTAATCAAATAAGTAAATCAATTTAAAAGTAAACTGCTCAAATTAAAATAAATATTAATTGTAGCCCATATCTTATAATGCCCAGATATTAATATTATTATTATTTGTCAGTCATTTAGTGCATTTGTATCTATATTATTATTATTATTTCTGGATCACAACATTACCGGGAATATTTAAATGATAATTTACTATATTAATATATTGCTTAAATTTATCATTGTATACGCATTACTATATCTATATACTTTGTTCTTCTTTTTCTTCTTTTTTTTTGTGCGTGCGTATATTTGTCTTAGGTTCTTTCCTTTGTATAACTTACTTTGACGTGTTGTTAACTGCATGTTTTGTTCAGTTTAAAAGCAAAATAAATAAATAATTGCTGAAATTATATCATATTTCATTACAAACATTATATATTTTATTACATTAAATATCATTTTTATCATTACCTTTCTACAATCCTCTCCAGTGTAAGGTTCCTCATGCACTCAGCCAATCCTCTCTCACCTAGTTCTACATCTCGCCCACAGGGGGCGCAAGGGAAAAGCATGAGAGGTGCAGGGCCTTCCTTTCGCCTGCGCCCCGGGTACGTCCCAGAGCCTAAACAAATACATGCATACGGTGAGATAAACTGAAAAACATACACACAATGAAAAAAACTGAACAGCTGAATATATCAACCCGTTTACATTGACTTTAAAGATGACGCATACGGTTTCTTGTCTTTACTCACCTGAGCGCAACAGGCGGTCCACACGGTCAGACTTGGGTAAGGGTCTCCGCATCTGCCGCGGGGACCGCATGTTGGGGGTGGAAGCGGGCGAGTTGGGCTCCGGGGGGAGCTCGGGCTGGGGATACCCGCTCTGAACCAGCACCTCAGAGGCACACATGAGACACACGCTGTGCAGGCAGGGAAGTACAATTGGCTGCTTCACAATGTCCTTGCACACAGGACACTGTAATTCCAGCTCCATACTCTTCATATTGGACTGAAAAAGGAATAGAAGGGGGGGAAAAAGGAGAAAGATGAGCAGGAGCGGAAGAGATGGCAGGCAGAGATGTGGATGTAATTGCAATGGTTTTTATTAAAACGTACATCAAAATAACAAACACAAGAACCAGAAAGCAGGGAACTGAAACATGCACCATCTAAAGACATCCACTGCAAACAACTATTTAGAAGGAACAAAGCTAACAAGACACACCCGAGGCCTGTTGCATGAAGCCAGTTTCAGTTGCTTGCTACCCAGGCAAGTTTGAGATTAGTTCAAACAAACTCTCAAGAAGGTGGATTGTATTTTAGCAGTGTTCATCGCCATTTTAACTTACACTACACTGCAAACCTGCTCCGGAGCAAGTTTATTCTGCGGTAGAGAACGCAAACCAAAACTGGACCAATCGCGAAACTCAGAGTTTGTTCAGCTATAGCTTCATGTAACAGGCCACTGGGAATAATCAGACTCATCAACATGGAAAACTACAATGAACTACAAACATGGCACTAAGGACAGGAAGTAACACAAAAGTCCTAACAAGACATAGGGAGCATATAACTCTAATATGATTTGGTACTTAAGAAACATTTCGTATTCCTAGCAATGTTGTAAATGGTTGTGCTGCATAATATTTTTGTGGAAACCATGAGAAAACATTTTTAGGATTATTTGATGAATAGGAAGGTCAAATGAACAACATTTACTCTAAATAGAATTATTTTGTAACAATGCAAATGTCAACTCTGATAGGTTTAATGTGCCCTTGCTGTAGAAAAGTTTTAATTTCTTTCAAAAACCTTACTGACCCGACCCAAAGTTTTGAATGATAGTGTATGTTGTCCAGGAATGTATTTTGTTGTAATTGTGCAATCAGACTAATCAGAACCTTTCCAAATATTTTCTGAATATGCAATCATTTATGCAGAACAATGCAAAACTTGACATACTTTATGTATAACAATCACAACATTATTTATCTAAGTACCATATGCTCCTGGATCAACATTCCTAATAACCCTGAATGTCCCTCTAAAATCAGAGACAAATGGTTAACGGTAATGTTCCCTAAACTTGTTCTTTTCAATAACCACGCATAAGCTCTTTTCTCAAAAATACAAACGTGTATACATGTTGCTCAAATATTATTGTAGCCCAGTTTGTGCTGAATACAGACTTTAGCCTATAATATGTTTATAAGCAACTGAAAAAAGCACAAATGTCAGAGCATGTCAAAACTTCTCCAGGGGCCAAAACCCCTTCAGATTTAATTAATAATCATGAAAGCTCAAATGTGTTCCCTTCTGTGTTTACCTTTTTACTGTATGCACCCTTATCATATTTGTTGCTTAATTCAATCTGTCCAAACTTTAATTTAGAGTGAACTGTACAGTACACAATACATATTGTTGCATTTTTGCATTACAATATATTGCGGCACGTATATTGTTACACCCCTAACAGCTTTGCAAAAACGTTACAAATTGTATCAGTATGTGAATTCTCTGGGATCAAACACATATCTTCATGCACTATGATGATAGCCCTTTCCATGATGATAAACTGAAAATTCAGAGCATGGTACAGCCAGATAATTGCTAAATATAGGTGCTGAAGTCATATTTGGGGCAGAATTATTGATCTCCATGAAGAATTATGATGTCTCTCTCTGTTGCACACTGAAAGAGGCAGATAAAATGAGTAAAGAGACTAGATTTTCATGCTGCCTGGTTGCTGAGAGAGACATGCACACACACACCTTTATAAATAGCTGTCTCTAGTGCACTGCTAGTCTGCAATGCTCTTTAAAAATGGATAGTGACCTGATGTTAATGATTTAAGCAGACAGCTGTGTGGCATTGGAAGCTCTGTAAAGGCCACATCAGCTTAAGAATGACCTTGTCCATCAGAAACACACAGCATAGACATATTTCTGGTGACTGTTTGAAGACATGCTGTCAACAGCACCACAAACGGTTCTGCTTTTTCCCAAACATGCACGTATACAGAATTTGCCTCTCCACAACCACATATAACACATATTTGTAACAATAAGACATGTTACAAATTAGTTTGAACTCTAGGAACCACCATGAAAAAGACATTCTTTAGTTTATTGATTCTGATAATCAAATGACCACAGTGCAAATACTACAATACAGCTGGTTATCACTCGTAAACTAGTTATTAGTTAACCACTGGCCTGCCCCATACAATGGCAATGTCATCTTAAAATATAGTATCTACCCTTATATCTTTGCATTAGACAAACATTTTCCCTTTAAATCGTAATTTAAAAACCAAAACGCATGCGTTAGAAAGGCCTACAACAGCTTAAAGACACTATTAGGGTTCTTTATCATCACGCGGTCATTCAGCAATGTCAACAGGCCATATACGTCACTCCATCCTGCACACGAAAGATTTAACGTGATTTTACCACAGTACAAAACAAACGCGACTGAGGTTTGCCCTACAGATATGACTGTAATAGTGTATGTGCGGTTTGCTCGAGCTGTATTCGGCAGCGCCCTTACCTTGACCTGAAATCTGGGCGCCATTACGGGATCCTGCTGTCTTTACTTCATATGAGAGAGAGGACTGGTGTCGCAAATCTGTGCAACTTACCGTCATGCACATATTTTATTGCAATGAATGAAAAACCTACTTGCAGTTTCCTGCCAGGTAAATGCATTAGGCTAAATCAGGAAAACACCGCATGCCATCGAAGCATCCACATGCACGATGCGGGTTGCGGATAGATACAAATCTTGAAAATGTACCGTTTATGTTTCGGTTCGTCGCAGTAGACCATCATATGTCAATGGGGAAATCTTCCGTTGGCCGCCATTGCCTCTTTCAGGTTGAAATGTAGGTTAGTAGGATGTCGCTACATCAGCACGCAACTGGAGATGCTTTCCAACGCGCTCGTCTCCTGCACGCATCCCGTTTCCGTGGCAACGAGCACGTCCTCCATCAGCAGCGAGATTACTGATACCAGCCTACCTCAGGACGGCCAATGTCACAACTTAGATTTTGCTTTTCTTGGTAGGCTATTGTCAGTGTATTTTAGTCAAACTGACAGTCTCTTCCAGTCGTTTTAAAACATCGGCATTGTAAAACACAAGCACTGTAAAAAGTGAAACTGTGCAGATGTTAGTTAAAGGGATAGTTCGAAAATGTCATCATTTAGCCTACTCACCCTCAAGTTGTTTCAAAACTGTATGAATTTATTTCTTCTTCTGAAAGGAAGATATTTTGAAGAATGTCGGTATTGTAACCAGACAGTTGATGGACCGATTGACTTCCATAGTAGGAAAAAAACTAAATATATGGAAGTCAATGGGGTCCATCAACTGTTTGGTTACCGACATTCTTCTAAATATCTTCTTTTGTGTTCAGCAGAAGAAAGAAACTCATTCAGGTTTATAGCAACTTGAGGGTTAGTAAATGACGAAAGATTTTTTTTACTATCCATTTAATAGCTAACACACAAAACAAGCACTAGGACACATTAATAGAAGAACGCGAATTTTACAGAACGTCCTTAATTAATTTAATTGTAGGCTATTTATTTATTTGTAGATATCATTTAATAGATTACACTTTCTTGAAAACATATGAAATTGTTTTGTAAAAAGAGCCCGTATAATTGATTGGGCTGAGTTTTCGATGCACTTAAACTGTCTTGACCAGCAGGTGTCGACACAGTGACTTCAATTTCAGAGTTTCGAAAAACTTCGTTTCTCATTTTCAGAAGGTGACCAAAAATCAAATGAATACATTTTGTTTGATTTCATTTAATAATTTAATTTAATTTAATTTGGTAAAATAATATTTTAAATGATTCGTCAGTTGGCTACTATGTGCATCTCTTTCAGTCTCATTCATTCATAATTCATTGTATTTACTTGTCATTTTCCAGCAATATTAACATCCTAAATATATAATATAATATATATAGGCCTATATATACACTGTAAAAAAATCATATGATCAATAAATTATGACAACATATGTTTTTAACGTTGCTTTTACTCACCAAAATAAGTTAAGCAATTAAAAAAAAAAAAGTTACACATTTTTGTACAACTACAACTATTTTTATTAAATCAGTTTAATGTAATTTAAGTTGAACTTAAACATCCAAGTTTATTGTACTTAAAATTTTAAGGCAGCAACTTTTTTTGTATAGCCTATATATTATAAATCTAGCCTATAAAAGAGTGATATTTTTATTATATATATTAAATATAGATATACTGTATATATAGATTATTAATATATTATATACAGATTATATATTTAAGATAAAAAATTGATATTTATATATTTTTATTTGTAACAGGGAAAAGCAGTTACAAAAAAATATGCTATAGGCCTACCTCTTCCATTTTACAACAACAATCAGTCATATCTATTACATCAGTTAAGCTAACTGTTCAATTACAGAGAAGACTTCTTAACTTGACTGTTGTTCTTTATAGAAATTAAAGAATCATAAAAAATGAGTCAGTGGAAACCGATCTAATATTTGGTACAACTGATATTTATTTTACTTTATGTATGTGATATATTTTCCAAATAGTGTAAGCATTTTAATTGTAGCCTATTGTCTAGCTCTATATAGAAATGTGTTCTGCTTTACTTCAGAGTTCCAAACATGAAAATGTGAAAAAAAATCAAATCATTGGTCCAATTCACGATGTTGGAATGTTGTGGGGGAGGGTGTTGCAGTTGCTAAGACATTTTTCAGCATACTGCTATGTGGATATAGTTAGCGATGTGGCAGGCACGACAAATTTATAAAGCTTGGCCGATATGAATATACAGTCAATGTCAGCTCATAAAAAATATATATGTAGTGTGTGATTTATGTTTCAATACTACCATTGCTGTGCACCTTGAGTTAATTAATAGATATTGAACACACAAAGTCCGCATAACTCACACACATTGGTATGCTGTGCTGTAATGAATTGCTCAACTTCCCTGATAAGAGCTTCTCCTGCCCATGGGCTCGGCCGGAGCCTATAAATTCTTGAGAGAGATATCTAGCACTTCTCAAATTCTTCACTCAGACGCCCAAACGGTAAGCTCTTCATTATGTGCGTTTAACTGCATTGTCAAGATCGGTTGTGTTAAAATTAGATTCATATCGGCCTTCTATAGTGCTGGACCCGAGCAGTTAGCAGCCATGCCTTCCCAACTAGAGACTGCCATGGAATCCCTCATAATGGTATTCCACCGGTACGCTGGAAAAGAGGGCAGGAGCGGCACCCTGACCCGCCGTGAGCTCAGACTCCTGATGGAGAACGAGCTCTCTGGGTTTCTCAAGGTGAAGATCTTCTGTCATTCGCTTTCACATAGTAAATGCAGACCAGATAGAAGTTTTTCACTCTCTTTTCCTTTCCTACAGTCTCAGAAGGATCCAACCACCATAGACCGAATCATGAAGGACTTGGATGCCAATGGGGATGGAGAGGTGAACTTTGAGGAGTTTGTGTCTTTGGTTGTGGGTTTGTCCATCGCCTGTGAGGCCTGCTACAGGACGCAGTTAACGAACACACAAAGCTGGAACCTATGAGTTTGTGTTGATGCGTGTACGGCAGTATCCAATGAAAAACCATTAAAACATTTGCTGCAAGGTTAAAGTACAGTGGGTGTGTATGACGGGACTTAACGCTCTTTGGCCTACAAACAGTATTCTTTGAGCTTTAAACATGTCTGTGCTAAAAGCTAAATGTTTTTGTTTAAAATAAAGCTTTCTAAAGTCTTCATGTGCTGAACTTTATTATTAAACTAGGCTGCATGCAACACATACATCACTGTTTTTGTACTCTCTCTCTCTCTCTCTCTCTCTCTCTCTCTCTCTCTCTCTCTCTCTCTCTCTCTCTCTCTCTCTCTCTCTCTCTCTCTCTCTCTCTCTCTCTCTCTCTCTCTCTCAACCTCATTGTCACAATACTCTTAAGGTGTGTCCAGCGTTGTATCAAACCCACTGTTAATGGTTTATGCGAACACAAGGCTGCTCAGTTGGAAAGAAAGTTATGGATGTTAGAACTCAATTAGAATGTAACATTCTAACACAGAAAACCTTTTAATAAAAATAAAAAAGAACATCACATAATGATTATAACTGAGTTAATATAACCGTTAAGCATAGATGTGAATTACTATGTGTAATCTAATCGTTTGCAACGGTAAAGGAAGGTAAAGTTATTGTTTCTTATATCATATTTTATGTCATAATTTTATACCTCAATATACTGTATATCCAATCCATATTTCTGCAAGTTACAGACATTTTGGAGTCATAATTTCATAAGATTACAAATTATTTAGACTTTTTTCCTTCAGCACATGTTATTAGTCACAGCAAGCAAGCTCCAAAGACTATTTCTTGCTTATGTTCAAAGAAACCCGTAATTTTGTGGCTTCCTCGTGGTCAATTTAGCATTTTAGTATAATATGATATTACATAATATACTATTAAAACTATACTACTACTACCACTATAATTGTAACTTGTGTTATGTTTGTATTTGTTTTAGTTCCCGTGTTTCCTTCTTGTGTTTAGTTCCTGTTCCCTTTGTTAGTTCTCAGTAGTTGATTATCTAGTTTCCTTTGTTTGGATTGTAGATACACGTGTTTGAATTATTCTTGGTCGGTTCTCGTTTGTGTTTATGTGTGGTTAGCTTTTCTCCTGTGATATCCCGTGTTTTCAAGGGCGTAGGTTTAGGGGGGGACGCTAGGTACTAGTCCCAATCAATATTTTGAGATGACAAATTTGTCCCCACCAATATTTAGCAAGCTCCTTTGAACTGCTATTTTGATATATGCGCTGCATTTGGATCTTTGCGCTGCTATTTGGATCGATTCCAACGGCCAGGATGACGACAGTACAAGATACGCCGTAATTTGATTGGCGGCGGGGTATCTGACAGGCAGGCTACACGCGCGGGCCTGGACTACTTTTTATGCTTGCACTCAGCGAGCGGGTGGTGTGTGCGTGTGTGTGCGCGTGACGACGCCGACGGTAAGTTACCAGGGCTCTCTGCCTGCCATATACAAAGGCCAGAGTAAAGCATTTTAATATTCCGTTTTTTTGTCCCTTTTTGTACTTTGTAGACCAGCTATGTCACCCAAGAATAAGAAAAGGGACATACGAAGCTTTTTCATAAAGCAGAGTGTAAGTAGGCAAAAATAACTAGCCACACAAATAGTGACTTGCCAGGCTTTCAAATGCAGATACTACTGTGGAAAATAGTATTAACTGGTGATCCTGGTTACCCAGGATATTGTTACAGTTAAACCTAGCTTCTGCAATCGTTCAAGGTTAGGAGCATTAATTAGGGGTGTGCAGCACGGATAGACTCATAGACGTCGCACTATCATGATAGAATGAGATTAGCAAGTCACTGAATGTTAATTAGCCTACCTTAACTTAGATTCTTGCAGTCATAAACAGTGGATCATCTGAGACATTTTTCGTTTCTACATTCTGTTTATGTAATGTATTTGTGAGTGTAGCCTAAGTTACTTGCTAGACACATGTGCTGGAAAAACATGTTGGCAATGTTAAAAAGGCAAAAGTTAACACTGTTGGTTATTCAAATATAATGAATCATTATTTGATTGATAATATCCAAATAACAATATCTGATAGGAGGGTTAAACTTGCTAGCCAGGATAGACTACAAAATTAATTAACCATTTTGTATGCAGGGAAGACAGCATCAAACCACAACAGATTTACATTAATTTAGCAGACACTTTTTATCCAAAGCGACTTACAATTGAGAACAATAGAAGCAGTAAACCTAGGATAACAATATGCAAGTTTTATGACCCTTCCCAGTTTAATCTAATGTACTTTTTTTTAAGAATAGAATATATCAATAGAATTTGATATAGAATAGAAGATACAATTTTAGTATTAATAGAATACTGTAATAATGGATAATAATAATAATGGATTTGTTAATCCACAAAACCATGTCCCCTTCATATTTAAATTGCTTTGAAATATAAAAATGATGTGTTGAATGCATACTATGATATGTGTGTATCACACGTGTGTATCACCCAGGTATTAACGTGAGTGTGAGTATTTGTTAGAGGTACTGGAGGGTAAAAAGTGTTTATAATAGAACAAGGTTATTATATTTATTTATTTAGATTTGTTTTGCTCCACAAGTTCTGAAAGTACTTCCTTGTGACAGTATTTTTTGTTAGTGTAAATACTAATGTACATAATAATTTATGTTAAATAAAATGTTTGGTTGTTCAGCATTACACAGTCTCAGGTTTTTATTGTTTGAGAGTGTATTTTTGAGATTATACAGTTATATTAGCTCTTTATTGACAGTATACAGGATGGTGTATCGGAGATGTCCCCACCAAAGCTGAGACCAAACCTACGCCCATGCGTGTTTTGATTGAGTAAATAAAGACTATATAGATTCTGGAATATTCTCTTCATCCTCGTGCTTGTTTGCAACCACACTGGTGACAGAAGAACCGGTCCTCAAAACGAGTGGGAAAAAAAATGAATATGCACAGCTGTTCGTCTCCTTCTCCTCACCCAAGATTATCATACCCTCGAGGACCATACTAGTGTGTTTCTGGACCTTGCATATCAGACACATTACCCCAACAGTGCACTTTTTTATTTTTCCTGGGCCGATCTAAGTTCTCAAATCAAACAACTAACTCCCCCGACGGATGATGGTTCATGAAGGGGGTTTAAGGATTCTGCTGGTTCCACCCTCAAGTGTCCTTTGTTGCCGCTAGTCCTGACCAGTCTCCCACTCCATCCTCCTCTGACAATACCATTCAGTTCCTCTGCCCCACTGGCTCTCTTCAACCCCTCGGCTCCTACATCGGTGGCTCCACACAGCTACTCGGATTCGCCTTGGGCTTCCAGGTATCCAGCTCCGCCCTGGTGTGTCGACCCCCTAGCTCCACCTCGGGCCTCAGAGCCCCCGAGCCCCAGACTCCACCTTGGCCCTCGGCTCCAATCCATCGGCTCCACCTTGGCTCCACGCTCCCTCAGCTCCACCATGGGCCATCATCCCTTGGGCTCAGCCAGGCTCCCTCATCCCACTGGCTCTACTTTGGTCCATTGTCGCTATGGCTTGGCCTCGGATGTCTGGGTCTCCGGCTACACCTCGACCCTCCACCCCGCTGGCTCCGGGTTCCTCGTTCCATCTGGTAGTAACATTGTCCTCACTCCAACAGGCTCTGCCCCGGGCTGCTGAGCACCTGTCACCTCAATCATGCGAGCCTCCGGCTCTTCCCATTCATCTTTTGCAACCACACTGGTGACAATAATACTAATACTAATAATAAAGATAAATAAATGGGGTTAAAAAGTAGCCTTCTCGACAGGCCCAAGACAAATATGTATAAGATCTTATTATGCATCCTGGTTGTTCTCATTGCCATAATATTATAGTCTTGTTTACTTACATGTACACTTTGCCAATGTTGCTGAAATCCTGACAGTTAGCCACCTTGTTTGCAGCAAACCACCCTATGAGCAAACACATTTCCTTCTCCAAATGGTTATGGTTCGTATGTTTTCTTTTATGCCACAAGAGGGCAGAAAAGACCTGTACAAGATCCAAACTACATCCATTGGCATACATTTTTCAGACATGTATAGAAAAATAAAATATAATAAAGTGTTATACCATTCGAACTGTGGTAACAAATCAAAGATGATGCTCTAACAAACAACTCAGTGGATGATTGTCATAGTTTGGACATTGTTGTTTTGTCCAAATGTATGTTTTGTCAAAATGTATGTAATTTATTTGTTGCATTATCATGTCAGATCACACATAGGCTACATTGCCATCTAAATGGTCAAAATACACCACTTATTCTTACTAATGTATGACTGGGCATAAAGTACAGGGAAGACTGGGGCTAGTTGTTTCACTTTAGTCCAGTGAAAATTTCTAATTTGACCTGCTACCCCAATGGTGTAGCCTATGCATAATAAAGAGTTATATTTTGACAAATGTAAAATAATAATAATAAACAACATATAAAATATGAATGTTCTGGCCAAAAATATGACAACTTGCCCCAATATATGAAAAACATTCTAAAATCTGAAAAGATCTGAAACTTTAAGTTGACTCTTGTCAGAATGTATGTCAGTGTAGTTTTATTCAGTTCAATTGTTTACACAACAGCTGTAGCAACAACAACAAAAAATGTATAGAAATTTTATTTTGGCAACTTGCCCTGGTAATATTTTGGTAGGCATCAACATGTCACTTTTTATTTGCTATCATGGTAAAAACACTATGATTGCAGATTTTTCCATGCAACCATCCTTCATCAGCTTTGCCTCGTACTGTTTCAGGATATCCTCTTATAATTCACCAAAACAAACGGACAGCCTCCACAAGAGTCTCTCCGTCCTCCTCTAAACACACTGGACAAAGTCTGTGAAAGTGAAAGAAGTCTTGTGATGGTTGGGCGGGTCACGCGTATTTCTGGCTTGTTGTTTTGAAGGCCTCCGGGAGGAGAGGGGGTGAAAAGCGAGTTAAAGATGGCGGAAAGCGAAGGAGATGAGACTGCTCGGCCCGCTCCTCCGTCACTGCTGCCCACAGCGCCCCGCGTTAACGGATCGGGGATGCTCGGTTCTGGTAGCCAGACCCCGACCTTGGTGACTTCGGGTCCGCGCGTGGTTCGGATAATAAAGTCAGAATCTGGATACGGATTCAACGTCCGCGGTCAAGTGAGTGAAGGCGGCCAACTGCGGAGCATTAACGGGGAGCTGTACGCTCCTCTCCAGCATGTAAGCGCCGTGCTACCCGGTGGTGCGGCGGACCGGGCCGGTATCGTGAAAGGAGACAGAATACTAGAGGTGTAAGTCTTTTATTTTCCACTTTACTTCTCATTTTAGCCTTGGAATAAGCTTTGCTCTACTGTCAGTCTGTCTGACACACAGTCACTGGTGGCTTTGCGTTATTTTTACACATTAGCATTGGACTTGTTTAAGCTTTCGTGGCCGTGCATGCCAATACATCCCTGCTAATGCAATAAACAGATCATTATTATGTAAGGCTTGAGCAGATAACACGTACTGGAAGTTCTCAAACGCAGAACGGTTGTTGTTGTGCAACAGGGTCATCATCGGCGTGTATTCAATAATTCGTGTGTGCTACTATATAGCCAGCTTATGCTTATGTGTCATATAAATCCAGAAGAGTCTCTCACTCAGTGACTTGTTGATGCATGACAGTTTCATGATCACATGCTGTCATATTGCTCTATTATCATCGATGCAGCTGATAAATGTAGTTCTTGACTAGTTAGCATCCTAAATTGTGCTTTATCTGAGCGTGGCCTGGGAGGTGCATATATGATTGACCATTTTAAAAAGTGCAATGGTCAACCAATATGTGTTTTTAAAATGGCTAAAACCTATATTATATATTCTATGTGGTCGATATAATTCACATAAAGTAGCAAATAAGGTTACATAAAACAAATTTAAAGAAGCACATATTTTACATAATATATATATATATATATATATATATATATATATATATATATATATATATATATATATATATATATATAGGTTTTCTTATACTTTTAGTGAACGTTGTATAAAAATGGTTTAATATCATCATATAATGATTTTTCCAAGTAAATGTAAGATTAACTTTTAAATTGTTAAAGATGTTCATCTCTCAATCATACACTACTGTTCAAATGTTTCAGTAGGTAAGCAAATAAGTCACTTATGCTCACCAAAGCTGCATTTATTTGATCAAAAATGCAGTAAAAAACTGTAATATTGTGAAATATTATTACCATTTAAAATAATTGTTTTCTATTTTCACATGTTTTAAACTGTCATTTATTCTTGTGATGGCAAAGCTAAATTTTCAGCATCATTACCCCAGTCTTCAGCGTCACACGATCCTTCAGAAATCATTCTAATGTGCTGATTTGATGCCCAACATTTCTTACTATTATCAATCTTGAAAACAGTTGAGCTGCTTAATGTTTGTGTGCAAACTTTCAGGATTCTTTGATGAATAGCAAGATCCGAAAGAACAGCATTTATTTAAAATAGAAATCTTTTGTAACATTATAAATGTCTTTATTTTCACTTTTGATCAATTTAATGTGCCCTTGACTCCTTGAATAAAAGTATACATTTTTTTATTTTTATCTTACTGAACCCAAACTTTTAAACAGTAATGCATATGCCAGCCTATTACATGTCAGTTGCCTTAATTAAGATGTATTGGCCTATATTACATAAATCAGTATTATATTGGCTGCTGTGCTCTCTAGTTATTGGCAGTGGGCACTAAAAACATGTCAACCAGCAATAATATTTACTCAAACTTATGTAAAATATTTGAAAATGTGCACTGTTGACAAGGCTGTCAGTAAGTTTGACATTAGGCAGAAATATCATCTTATTAATAAGCCAATGCTAATGATATTTATTTCAAAATATTGGCAGATTAATTGGCATTTTACTATATAATAGTATTTGTAACTACTGGTAAAATAAATTTTTATAGTTTACTGCAATGAGCAACCGTGTTAACATTGAGAACAGGTTTTAGAAAGTATCTTCCTTCTTCAGTGAATATTTTACAGATCTGCTTTGCATGTTAATTCATAAGCTAGATTATGTAGCCAATATAGAACCACGCCACTGGTCATATTTGGAGGTGTGACAGGTAACATGATCCACATTATAAAACTGAGACGTATTGGGGTCACTGTTTTATCTTCTGAGAAAATTAGAAGTTGTATAAGGATTCACAAGGGCCACAGAGTGTGGTGCAGTTCTTCACAATGTCAGTTTCAGTCAATAAACTCGCATGCTGGTGGTGTGCTGCCGTCGGTTTCACTCAAACCACTTTTCTCAGACAGTCTATCTCTGTCTGAACTCAATGTGTGGCCATCTCAATTGTGTTTTAGATAAACTCCGGGCATGTGTGTGTGTGTGTAAACAAAGAAATCATTCATGTAGGCTACTGCACACTAATGTCAGGAGACTTTTTAAATAAAAATGATGCTAAACTCCTCTATAGTTATTTTTATCAGTCATTGTTCTCTTTAAAACGTCACATTTACTCAAAATGTCGATCTGCTTCAGTAATGTGTTCGATTTTGCTAATTTTATCCCACTGAAAATGTCATGAAAGTATTTACCCCTCCCTGAAAGGAAGGAAATGCAAAAGGTTATTATTAGGGACATGGAGGTTGTTACTTGCTTAGCCTCGGTCAAGTTTACTTTAACAAGTTCATTTAAACACATTTCTTTACCTCTAGTAATTCACTGGAAATTCTTGAGGAACGTCTTTAGGAACATGATAAATATTTTGGTTAGTGTGGTTTTTTTAAGAACAGTTGTTCAGCCATGCTGCTAATACTCTTTTTTTTTTTTTTTACAAATCAGCTTTGAAAACAGATTTTTTGAGATGGTTTTAGTTATTAGGGTTGTCAAACGTACTGGTTCTACCGGTATACCAGTGGGTACTAAAAGCAAAAGTTGATGGCACCAGCATTTCTGCAGTACCAGTAGTACGAGTACCCGGTATATTTGAATAGATGTGTTTGTTTGACCGCTGTCTGAGGATCGGTTAATGTGTTTTACCAAGTAGAACTGTTCCTGGATCAACATAGTTGTTGATCATGGAGGAACAACATTTCAATAAACCAATCCGATTTGAGGGATAGTTTTTTAGTTAATATCAAGTTTAGGCTTACAACAAGGGTTAGGGGCTTATTTCCCTCTGATTTTAGGGATAAATTATGGGTCGGGTTAGGTGTAGGGATAGGGATAGGGTCAGGGGACTATGCTTTTGGACAGGAATGTTGTTCAGTAGATGTTGTTCCAGGAACATGTCTTGGCAAAATCACAGTGACCCTATGCATCAGGTTTTTATTTACAGCGTTTTTTGTTTTTACAAGCGTTGAGCATTGTAGCCAATCACAATCATATTCATATCTGTTGAGCATGTGAACAACGTGGCCTATCAGAGGTGCTAGTCAGTAAGTTATTCACAATCCATCCACTTAACACCACTGAAAATGCAAGAGCATTTGTTTTGTTCAATAATGAATCCTTTCATTATAACCAACAAAGTGAAAACACAATGTAAATAAGAGATTCATTGTGCAGTTTCTGGATTGACGACTGTATTTAAATGGGCGATTGAATCTAAAATGCGATGATTGACCATGATAACCAATGGACGAGACAAAACGGGACAAAATATTTTGAAGTTAGTTCTTAAATCAGCAGAAAATTGGTGTCAAGAATGCAAAATTTTACTAGTATTTGTATCGGCTGAAATTTTGATAATGTGCCAACCCTAGTTGTTATTGTGTTAATCAATGTGAATGTTATATATTATATCTCACATCATGCTAAGTGTTGCATCTGGACCCTTTTAAAGAATCTACTGGTCATTTGTGATGAATACATGGGAACTGGAACTTTCAAAAAAAAAAAAAAATTGTAATGCTTTGACTTGACCTTTTTATTTTGTGGAAATAATCCTAGGTTTCATTAGCCCAAGGCTGGTTTCCTGAGGAACTCCTTTAAGGAAGAAGGAGTGGGTTCACAAACCAAGGCTGAGTTTGTTTATGAGCTGTGTTTTCCATTTACAGTCTTTGGTGAGCGTTGTCCCTGTCTTCAGTTCAGTGGTATAAACATGAATATGTTCAACAAGGAAAAGAAAATCAATATGGTATCTTCTTTAGAGTTATAACAGTACTTCCATCTGAAATGAGGAAGTATCAGGGAATCATTGCAGTCATTAACTGGTCATGTGAATGTCATGTTACACAACAGTTTGTTCCTGTTCCAAACTCATTGTTCAGCATGTTCAAGTCTTCAAGCATGTGATTTTATATTGAATTGGAATAAAGTATGAGACATTGGTATAGATTTTGGGGACAGTTGGGATTTAGGATAAGTTAAGAGACCCCATATTAATCCCTATCAATATTTCTGGTGATTTAAAGTTATGACAGAGAATACAAGCACCATATTTTTCTGCTTTATATATATTTTTGTTATAAAGTGAAAGTATTTATTTCCATTACTAGAGACACTGTCTTTGTTTATGCCGTGGATGAATTTATTTGCATGTTTTTTTCCTATTGAGAATGTAAATGAACTATACCAGAAGAGCCTTGCATTTTTTTATTTCCCTCCACTTTTAATATAATCAAATCACTAATGAATTTCTTTCTGTGGTAGTGTATAAAGCTGGTTTGTCAGCTTTGTCTACACTCATTTTTGCATGGCGTCATGACATATACCTCCCCATTACTGTCTTCCTCCATCTGTCACCTGGTTTATGAATAAGTGATAGTGGTAATAATAATAATAATAATAAGTGATGGGGACAGCTGCCATGTGCTACATGTGTCATTGTTGGTGGTGGGATCATGTTCATATGCAAACAATAATTCATAACTAAATGGAGAGATCCCGGTGACCGTCAACCTTTTATCAGCTGAAAAACACTGTAAACCAGCTGCAAAAACAAAACAAAAAACAGAGACTTTTTGAAAACGACATCAGTTCCCTACTTGAAATGTAAACCTTTGGTTAATAGACTACTCTGGGTTTCATTTCCATCAATTGTAAAATGGCTTATTATACCAGTTTAAAGAGAGTAACCTTTGCTTTAATGGTGAAGAAAAACAATGTTTGGATTGTTTTAGTATTGAAGATCTCAATGCTTAATGCGGATGTCCAATTAAAACGGTATGCTAAAGGGCTGATTTGCTTGCAAATCACAATTAAATGTTTTTAAAAAGCCAATTTTTGCTTTGTGTGGTCCAATGAGTTCCCTCAACACCAATGAGATTTTGAATATCTATACATACAGCGCCATTCAAAAAGTTTGGGGTTTATTTTGAATGAATCATTTTTATTCAGGAAAAGATGCATTCAATTAATCAGAAGTGGCAGTAAAGCCATTAATAATGTTACAAAAAATTAACATTAACACAAATAAATGCTCTGCTTTTGAACTTTCTATCCATCAGTTAATCCTGAAAAAAAAAAAAAATAATTAAGCAGCACAATTGTTTTCAACTGTGATAATATTAAAAAATGTTGAGCATCAAATCAGCATATTGGAATGATTTCTGAAGGATCATGTGACCCTGAAGACTGGAGTAATTGCTGATGAATATTCAGCTTGCCATATCAAAAATATATTAAAACAGGTATTTTAAATTGTACTAGTATTTCAGTGTTTTTACTGTATTTTTGGTAAAATATGCAGCCTTGGGGAGTATGAGAGACCAAACCGTCTTAATATTTCACCCCTGTAACATGACCCACTTTTTTCCGTTTCTCCTGCAGTAACCGGGTGAGCGTGGAGGGGGCGACGCACAAGCAGGTAGTGGACCTGATCCGGGCCGGAGAGAGGGAGCTGGTGTTGACCGTGCTCTCTGTCCCGCCACAGGAAGGGGACGGACTCGATGCCGGAGAAGAAAGTGCTGTGCAGCCCAGTTACGACTACAGCGACAAGCAGGCCGTCCCCATTTCAGTCCCCACATACAAACATGTGGAACAGCACTCCGAGAAGTTTGTGGTGAGTTGCGCAGAAAAGCATAAAAGCTTTTTCCTTTTTGGCTGTTTAGTGCTAATAATCTTTGTTTCCTCCTGTCTTAGGCGTATAACGTCTACATGTCGGGCAGACAGATGTGCTCGAAGCGTTACCGGGAGTTCGCAATACTTCATCAGAACCTGAAGAGAGAGTTTTCCAGCTACACTTTCCCGAAACTGCCTGGGAAGTGGCCCTTCTCTCTGTCTGAACAACAGCTGGACGCTCGCAGGAGAGGATTGGAGGAATACATGGAGAGAGGTGAGAGAGGGGAGGACATTAAGGCCCGGTTTCACAGACAGGGCTTAGATTAAGCCAGGATTAGGCCTTAGTTCAGTTAGGATAACCACTAACCTGTCTTAAATCCCCTAAGGTAAGATGTTTAATGAATTAATTGGTTGTTTCAAAGATTAAGCATTTCAACATAACACTAGCTACATATAATACTAGTATGAGTGACACGGATCGATTATTAAAATAGTGAGCACTTCTGGAGTGAACGCGTAGGCTGTACATGATGCGTTCACTCTAGCTAGAACTAGCGACAGATACAGGACACGTTCACTCTATAGAAAGTGCAAAAAGACGTTCTGCATCTTCTTGAGACAGGCTCTTTTAAAATATCTATTTTAACTTGACACAGTGCGTTAAAAACATGGCGCTTTGAAAATACAAGCTTTTCTTTCAGCGAGCCTTTCAATAACACCAAAGCCTGTCAAAAAAAAATGTGTTCTTAAAAAAATATATTCTTCTTTCTCAAGATGATTTTCGTGAATCTGGCCCCTGATTTTAAAGTCCTGAGTTTATTAATTTATTTTTTACTTTTATTACAGATGATTTATATTTGATCAAGGATGTTTTTGTATTGTCATCTTTGCAGTAAGCCACCATTGGATGTGGTTTTGTACAGTTGCTCATAGATGCATGAGATATAAAATGCACTTCTGCTGAGCTCTATATAAATATATATCTCTCTCTCTCTCTCTCTCTCTCTCTCTCTCTCTCTCTCTCTCTCTCTCTCTCTCTCTGTGCGTCTCTCGACTTCTTTCTCTTTTTAGTCTGCTCAGTGCGGATCATAGGTGAGAGTGACATTATGCAAGAATTCCTGTCTGAATCAAACGAGGTAAGTATGTGTGTGCAAAAACTGTAGATCTGTGTGGAAGTGGTTTTGCTCAAGGACTCTGTTTAACATGCGCTTCGTGTTACAGAACCACAACACCATAACAGATGTCGAGTTACGGATAGCGCTGCCTGATAAAACTACAGCTTCAGTGAGAGTCCGAAAGAATAGCACCACTGACCAGGTTTACCAGGTAAAATGTCATATGTTCATGCAACACAGTCTGACTATTTAAAGGGGTCATTAAATATTAAAAAAAAACATAAAAGCCAAGGTTTTGTACCATTAAAGCATCCTGCAAGTTTCATAGCTTAAAAGGTCATCTTCATTATAAACAAAGCATTTATTTATTAAAACTCCAAAAACAGCTTGTTTGGATGTTGTGGGATCTGATGTCACATGGGCTAATACATTTGCATATGACTGCCTCCAGAGCAAGACATCGACAAATAATTAAACATCATCATCGCCCCGCCCACTATTCTTCAGTTGGTTAATGGCCGACACCTGTCAACACCGGATGACCTCAACAACAGCTCATCCTAGTCATAAACGAGTATCATTTTCCCTTTTTCAGGCTCTTGTCATGAAGGTTGGGATGGACAGCATGATGGCCAGTTACTTTGCTCTCTTCGAAGTTATTAACCACTCATTTGGTGAGTAATGGCTCTATTTTCCTTCACGTTACTGTGTTCTGAGTTGGCCTCTAACAGGAAGGGAAGAAAGCATTTAGATATTCACTGAGGAAAGCAGTTGACCTTGTTATGAAGTCAAAAGTAATTGCGCTTATGATTCATTTTAACAGTGATTAAACTGCCGCTTCGTGATCTTTTCTTAATCAAACGAACAATGTTTTGCCCCGGCTGGCAAGCTCTGATAAGGTGCTACTGAGCTCATAAGGACATCGGGCCTTGTTAATGAAATATGAACAGAACAAATTTCTGTGTAAATCCTTCGCAAAAGGATTGTATACATTTATAGAAGAATGTTTGGTCACACTTTAGTTTGGGGAACACATATACACTATTAACTATGACTTTTGCCTCAATAAACTCCTAATTTACTGTTATTCAATTGTTAGTATGGTAGTTGTAGTGGTTAATTTAGGTATGGAGTGCGATTAAGGGATGTAGAATATGGTCATGCAGAATAAGGCATTAATGTTTGCTTTATAAGTAGAAAACACTTATTTTGAATTGTAACAATATTTCAATATATTACTGTTTTAGTGTATTTTTGATTAAATAAATACAGCCTTGGTGAGCATAAGGAGCCAATATGCTAGTAATATGCAAGTTAATAAGCAATGAGTTTATAGTGAGAATTGGTCCCCAAACTAAAGTCTTACTGAATGTTTTTGTCTGTAAAAATACACATGTAGTTATGTGACGGCTAGATAGTTTTAAATATCAAATATTGAGTTGAAACATGTAACTTCTATGGGGCTTTCAGGCTTCAAAAAGGAAGAAAACGTAGCAGAAAAGTGTCATCCAAGTGGTCCATGTGAATTGTTCTTTATATTTCAAGTCATACGATAGCTTTGTGTCAAACAGATCAAAATTTAAGTTGTTGGTGAAAGTCTTCCCCTCCGTTGTTGAGTCGATAACCAGAATCATCAGATAAATCAAATGTTTCGGGTCAGTAAGAGTTCTTCAATGTTCCTTATGCTCACCAAGGCTGTATTTATTTAATCAAAAATACACTAAAACAGTAATATATTGAAATATTGTTACAATTCAAAATAAGTGTTTTCTATTAATATATAGTTTCAAATGTGTTATACTTCTGTGTTGGCAAAGCTGAATTTTCAGCATCATTACCTCAGTCTTTAGTGTCACATGATCCTTCAGAAATCATTTTAATATGCTGATTTGCTGCTCAAGAAACATTTCTTATTATTGTTTGTTGAAAACAATTGTGCTGCCTAATATTTTCGGGTCAAACCACTCTCAATGCTTAACAGTTCCATTCCATGCCGATCCGACCCAGCCGGTATGGGTTTGGTTTTATGTTCCATTGTGGGGTTGATAACAGAACTTTTTGGAAATAGAACTCGTTCAGCCTGGTGGTGAAAACCTTTTATATATATATATATATATATACACTCACCGGCCACTTTATTAGGTACCCCATGCTAGTAACGGGTTGGACCCCCTTTTGCCTTCAGAACTGCCTCAATTCTTCGTGGCATAGATTCAACAAGGTGCTGGAAGCATTCCTCAGGGAGTTTGGTCCATATTGACATGATGGCATCACACAGTTGCCGCAGATTTGTCGGCTGCACATCCATGATGCGAATCTCCCGTTCCACCACATCCCAAAGATGCTCTATTGGGTTGAGATCTGGTGACTGTGGAGGCCATTTTAGTACAGTGAACTCATTGTCATGTTCAAGAAACCAATTTGAAATGATTAGAGCTTTGTGACATGGTGGAAGTAGCCATCAGAGGATGGGTACATGGTGGCCATAAAGGGATGGACATGGTCAGAAACAATGCTCAGGTAGGCCGTGGCATTTAAACGATGCCCAATTGGCACTAAGGGGCCTAAAGTGTGCCAGGAAAACATCCCCCACACCATTACACCACCACCACCAGCCTGCACAGTGGTAACAAGGCATGATGGTTCCATGTTCTCATTCTGTTTACGCCAAATTCTGACTCTAACATCTGAATGTCTCAACAGAAATCGAGACTCATCAGACCAGGCAACATTTTTCCAGTCTTCAACTGTTCAATTTTGGTGAGCTCTTGCAAATTGTAGCCTCTTTTTCCTATTTGTAGTGGAGATGAGTGGTACCCGGTGGAGTCTTCTGCTGTTGTAGCCCATCCGCCTCAAGGTTGTGCGTGTTGTGGCTTCACAAATGCTTTGCTGCATACCTCGGTTGTAACGAGTGGTTATTTCAGTCACTGTTGCCCTTCTATCAGCTCGAACCAGTCTGGCCATTCTTCTCTGACCTCTGGCATCAACAAGGCATTTCCGCCCACAGAACTGCCGCTCACTGGATGTTTTTTCTTTTTCGGACCATTCTCTGTAAACCCTAGAGATGGTTGTGCGTGAAAATCCCAGTAGATTAGCAGTTTCTGAAATACTCAGACCAGCCCTTCTGGCACCAACAATCATGCCACGCTCAAAGTCACTCAAATCAACTTTCTTCCCCATACTGATGCTCGGTTTGAACTGCAGGAGATTGTCTTGACCATGTCTACATGCCTAAATGCACTGAGTTGCCGCCATGTGATTGGCTGCTTAGAAATTAAGTGTTAACGAGCAGTTGGACAGGTGTACCTAATAAAGTGGCCGGTGAGTGTATATATATATATTAGGGCTGTCAAATGATTAATCGTGATTATTCACATCCAAAATAAAGTTTTTTTTACATAATATATGTGGGTGCACTGTGTATAATTATTTTATATATATATATATATAAATACACACACATGCTTGTATATATTTAAGAAATATTTTCATGTATATACTGTATATAGATTTATATATAATTTATATTATATATAAATATAAATATTTTATATATACATTTTTTTTTTCTTAAATATACATGCATGTGTGTGTATTTATATATATATATATATATACAAAATAATTATACACAGTGCACCCACATATATTATGTAAAAAAAACGTTTATTTTTGATGTGATTAATCGTGATTAATCATTTGACAGCCCTAATAGATATATATATATATATATATATATATATATATAATTTTTTTGCAACATTATAAATTTCTTCACTGCCAGTTTATTGTGTCCTTGCTAAATAAAAGTAATTTATATTTTTAAAAATTGTACTTGACCCTAAACTTACAGGGTCAACAGTAGTGTACGTATGGCAGATTTGCAGTCTATATTACAGTATTTAATTATTTTCCTCATATAAAGATATAAAATTTACCATGAAATGCTAAACTGTTTGCAATATTTACTGAAAATCTCTCTCTTGTCCTCTTTTTCTGTTTTGTCACTTGCACTTTTCTTCCTAAAGTGCGCAAATTGGCTCCTAATGAGTTTCCGCACAAGCTGTATGTTCAGAACTACACGTCAGCTGTCCCTGGGACGTGTCTCACGGTGCGCAAGTGGCTCTTCAGCACACAGGAAGAGGAACTGCTGCGGGACAACCCACTGGCCCTGCACTACTGCTTCCATCAGGTCAGTCCGGGTTATTGTCAATTCTCTTATCGCAGATTAAGTCATTTATAGTGTCTCCAGATACTATAACATGGTCATTATGTCATCAATAAATATAAACACGTCGCACATTATGGTAAATGCAGACCATAAACCGCGCAAATGGACTTTGAACAGCTAGCAAGGTGCCAGGTTAATGCATCATCTAATACCACACATGCTTGCTTTGTTTTACTTTACATTTTATTCGACGTATTTGTATAGACCTTATGCGGCAGAGAAACAAGCATGCAGCCATCTGTAGAATTGTGTTTAAACTTCCCTTTTTGCATTCGCTCCGTCTATGGCATCGGTGTCGAAGAGTGGCTAGTGAAGTGGATTTACTTATTGTGGAGTTAATGAAAGTTATCATGAGCATTGTAATGTTTGACAAATGTCAGCTGACCGGGAAGATTTTAAAACGAGCGGTTCATTCATAAATCCGTAAGATCTTACCTTCGTGCTGTGGAAATACAAACCAGAAGACATAGATGACAGTGCTGAAAAGGGGCGGGGCTACATAAACTCTATAGCTGAAGTCATTAATGACTTGCTTTCAAACGCTTCTTCAGCTCATATACTCATATCAGAGCTGTTCATTTCTTACATTCTGTGTTTTGGTCTCTTTTCTTCAGGCACAGGATGATGTGAAGAAGGGATTCATTAAAGCAGAGGATAAAGCGTACCAGCTCCAGAAACTAGCAGAACAGAGAAAGATGACAACGGTCTCTCATACTTTATCCGTCATAGAATGCCAAACAGACTTTTAAATAGAATGCTTCATTTAAATGCTATTTATCTTTTCATTGAAACCCTTTCAATAACACGTCCAGGTCACTTTTCACCTTAAAAATCTAATTAAAAGAAATTATTGTAATAATAATAAAATCAAGCATATTTTGGGGGGCATTTAAAAAAAATGTATTGCACTGTAACATTTAGTTTTCAATACATTTCCATTACATTACAAATTCTTATAACTGTAAGGCAAAAAAAATTATTAGAGTAATGCAAAAATGTATACATGGCTCAAAGTGCTGTTATAGTATTATTTATATACTATTACAGTTTTCTATATTTTTATATCCTTCAGTCTAATTTCTAGTAATTCGTTTTTTTCCCCTATTATTCAGTCTTATGCTCACCAAGGCTGTATTTATTTAATCAAAAATACACTAAAACAGTAATATATTGAAATATTGTTACAATAAAAAAAAATCATTAGAGTAATGCAAAAAATGTATATATGGCTCAAAGTGCTGTTATAGTATTATTTATATACTATTACAGTTTTCTATATTTTTATATCCTTCAGTCTAATTTCTAGTAATTCGTTTTTTTCCCCTATTATTTTGGTTTAAAATATTTACTAATAATGATTTAGTCATTTTAGTTTTTTTTTTTTTCCAAGGCAACATTTTTAATTTTCATTTAAAGTTTTCTATGTAATATTTATATTTTATTTCAGCTTTGTTTCAATTAATGAAAAGTTTTTTTTTTTATAACATTGGGTTCCAAACAAAAATGTTAATTGGTCTAAGATAGTCTTCATTGTATGTTTTTTTTTTTTTTTTTTTTGGGGGGTGAAATGTAACCTGGACACAGCAAAATCTATTAATAATATGTAAAGGCATTTTGTTTGAACACAAAATAAACATTTGTTTTCCTTCTTTTCTGTGATCTTTCTCTCGCAGTATCTGAGTCTTTTGCGCTCATGTGAGGGATATAACGAGTTGACTTTCCCTCACTGTGCATGTGACTCACGGAGGAAAGGTCATGTGATCACGGCCATCAGCATGAAGCATTTCAAACTACACGCCTGCACAGAGGACGGCACTCTTGAGGTGGGCGAAAGATGCTCACAATGTACAGACATAGAGGCGTCGAATTGGCCGTATGAGAGCACGTTTGATTTGTTCGCCCATAGTAACATTTATCTTTGACTCACAGAATCAGGTGATTGTGTTCGAATGGTCAGAGATGCAAAGATGGGACACAGATGAGGAGGGAATGGCCTTCTGCTTTGAGTATGTGCGGGGAGAAAAGAAACCTCGTTGGGTCAAAATATTCACTCCTTATGTAAGTCACCCCAAAATGAAAATGATTGCTTCATTATTTACCTGCTGAATTGTGTTTCTCAGAACATTTTGAACAGAAATAAGCCCTGGTTGAGTGTGTTTGTGTTCCCTTCTCCAGTTTAACTACATGCACGAGTGCTTTGAGAGGATTTTCTGTGAGCTCAAATGGAGGAAAGAGGTATTAATAACTTGCACACATTTCTGTTTTAACTTCTTTGCCTTTTTTGTCATTTGTTAATGAGTTTCTCTCTGATATGTTAAAGGTTGAAGAGGAGGCCTCAGACAAAGGCAATAAGAACTGTAGTAATAATGGTAAGAGAACCTTTTGCCCTCGTTTTATCACACACACAAGTTAATGGGATTTTTTTTCAAGCGTACTCATGTGATGATCATACTCGCACAGAAACCTGAAATACAGGTTCATACTTGCCACACTCACATTTTAGCATGAGTACAAAGTCACATGTCATGCGTGTGATGCTCATTTCAGCCAACAGTGCGTGAAATGAACCCTGCACCTTCTCGGATGATCAAGGAATGGAAATGTATTCCTTTATTATGTAAAACAAAATGCAGGAAACATTGATTCCAATGCACTGTAGGCTAGCATAGATTGGAAATACTCCAGCAAATGTGCTTTTCATTATTGAGCACTGTTTTATTCAGTGAGCAAATAATATATTTGCAAAGTAAATATTTGAAATAATAACTTTTTTTGTATTTTTCTGTACTGAATACATTTCATCTGAACTGTAGTGGTATGAACTGAGATTAATTTAATAAATAATTTATTATTTAATATTCATTGATAAAAAATTATAATGTAAAAATTAATTTTATAATTTTAAAATTTAGGCTATAATTAATTTAAATGATAATGTATAATATATAATAAATATACGTGTGTTTGTGTGTGCATGTTAAAATACTTTAAAATTGAACAAAAATAATGCACCTTTTATATATATATATATATATATATTTTTTTTTTTTTAGTGCTGTCAAATCAATTATTTGCGATTAATCGCATCTAACATAAACGCTTACGTGTGTGTGTATATATTCTGTACATACACATAAATTATTTCACAAACTTTTATGTTAGATGTGATTAATCACGATTAATCGATTTGACAGCAATTGATTTTTTTCCCTGCTGGTTGACACAAAAATAGTCTTTAATTTTATACTGAACTTTACTGAGATCAGGCGAGTAGAATTCATTGTCGTGAGCCCAAGTTCCCCCATTCTAGGCCATTGAAAATGACTGGTGTGTACTCTAATGGGAATGTAATTCTGCTAACACTAAATGTGATTTTAAATTTAGTGAACCTGTAAAACAGAAGGCAGAATTTATAAATCCATTGGCATAGGGGATTTAAGAATAAAATAAAAAAAGCTTTACAAACCCTTTTAAATGTTTAGTAAAGGGAATGAAACTTCTGTATTGTAGATTACATCTCGCCGCTGGAGCAACAGAAGGGATGGCGCCACCTAGGGGGCGAGATTGCCACTTCCTAAAACCCCTCTCTAGACCCCTGTGGAACAGCATAAATTGCGCTGGATCATCACACGTGAGCAGACCACCATAATGACCATGTTACCACGGCAACATCCCAGCGACACCATAACAACCACGTTTCCACGGAGACAAAAGTGTGCCTTTCAGACGCAGAGCTTTCCATATGGCAACCACAGCAACGCAAAATGCCATTATCATGGCGAAGTAGAGGCTGCAGGGATGTTTCACCCCAGATCGAGAGCACCAATGGGTTCTGCTGTCATTTCATCAATAGATACTTTGAACTTGCTTAAGTACATGTAAAATACCACATAGGACGAGATCGAAAGATCTTCCACGTCATTGGTTTAGGAGACAAGCTATTCTTTAAGTCTACTGGCTGGATTTTGGAGAGCATTAGCTAAGGTAGAGCTGAATCGGCACTGTTATCAGGGCAGCGTAGTAACGAATGACCACTTTGTGATTTGGAATGGCACCCGCTATCACAATTGTTTGACTAAACTATATAAATGGGAGGGGGACGTCATGCCTTAACAAAACAAAATAATAATTTGTGTAGCAAGGTCACCATACAAACGATTAGTGTGGGATCTCTCTAAAATAATATTGTGATGGCATTATTGCTTGATTTTCCCAGTATTGCTGACTAAAATGAGCTCTTATTAATTTTATTTCAATTAGATGAGGAGTAACAAGTCTGTAGGAGCAGTGACATGGGAAGTGTGTGTGTGTGTGATTGTGTAATTAAGGACAGGATTGTTTATAAACTGACATTATAGGGATAGTTTAACCAAAAATGAACATTCTGTCACCATTTACTCACCCTTAAGTTGTTCCAAACCTGTATTAATTTCTTTCTTCTGCTGAACACAAAAGAAGATATTTTGAAGAATATGGGTAACCTAACAGTTGATGGACCCCATTGACTTCCATAGTACAATGAAAGTTAATGGGGTCCATAAACTATTTGGTTACTGACATTCTTCAAAATATCTTTTTTTTGTGTGTGTGTGTGTGTGTGTGTGTGTGTGTGTGTGTGTGTGTGTGTGTGTGTGTGTGTGTGTGTGTGTGTGTGTGTGTGTGTGTGTGTGTGTGTGTGTGTTCAGCAGAAAAAAGAAATTCATACAGGTTTGGAACAACTTGAGGGTGAGTAAAAGACGAAAAGACCGAATGTTCATTTCGGAGTGAACTATCCCTTTAAGGTTAAGTGTAGTTCGCACACGTGACCTGTAGGGGGCCTCAGCATCAAACACAGAAGCAGCTGCGCTCAAGATACAGTTTATTTCTGTTCAGTTTTATGTGTTGGCCTCTGAGGGAACATCATCGAGCGAGTCCTCGTCTGAGTTTGTCTTTGTGTTATTTATTGTTCGAGACTGCAGAGGCTTTCCTCACAGAGAGACAACAGCACCACGTCGGACCTGCTGACGAGATCTGAACGGGGAAAACAAGAGACCGACTGAGAATACTGTGATCTCAGTCCTCTCATATGTTTTCTAGAATAAGAACTTAGAAAGCAAAAGGCAACTAGTCTCAAACTCATGTGCAAATTCCCCACAGTGTGCTGGGATAACAGCCAGGTTTTTTTGTGTTTTTTTTTTTTTGTAGTGGTCTACATTAGCTATTTTTCTCTTGTTGTAACTCTCTTCTTTTAATGCATAGTAGAGAACTAGAGCTTTAAAAATGGTATAGCAAAAAAGATATACCATAAAGGACCTTGGTTGCCCCCCTCATCACAGGACAAGGCACAGCTTAACATTTTCTTAACAGACATGCATGTTTAATGCAAGTCAGAAGCTTTCACCATTCCATTCCAGCACAATACTGTGATAAATGAGCTTATCCTCATCCAAATGCTTAAGCCACCTTGGCTACGATACCTTGATCAATAAGTGAGTTTGTATAGTGTGTGTGTGTGTGTGTGCTACATCAGATTGCTCTCTGGTTAGAGTAAAGGCTCCTATTACAGCAGCACGGTAGCATCTGTGGTCTAAGCGTATTTACAAAAACTTGATTTGTCTTCAGTCTTGATTATTTCCATATTTGATTAGTTCAGACAGTTTATCAATGTGAATGAAAAAAAAAAAAGAAAAGTTCGGCTTGTGTGTTTTACAGTCGTGTAACTTTGTCCTTTCGTCAGGAGTGCAGGTGCGACACTTTTTGTATTGTCTGGAAAATGTCAAAAGTGTTCCACCTCGTAATGTTCACCAGCGCTATAATATTAATTGTTTGGTCAGTGTTTCTTATTTTGTGTCAATGTGCCGGGAGGGAAGAATACGAATGTACCAGAATGTATTTATAACATGGATGATTATTTGTTTGTTTTTTGTCATTAACTTGAACTTCAACCATTAAATATCATCATAACGCTTCAGTTTAAAACGTAAGACACTAACATACTCTTATCCTTCCACTGAGTGTTTTCTTAACTTTTGGCCCACCTTGAAAGTATTAATAATGTTTTGAGTGTTTTCCCCAAAATTGGTATGTTGGGATGAATACTGTCAAGTTTAACGGCTATTTGTTTGTGTTCTGTGCTTCATCTGTAAATCTTACTGCTTATGTGTAGTACTGACAGAGTCTTTGTAGCTTTTCTGACTGAAAGGGGTAATTTATTTTTCTGCTGAACCGAGGGGATTGAAACAAGGCCTGTGCTGTGGTGGGTTCAGGAACGGGCTTTGTATGACAAAAGATATAATGCGTACGTGAAGGAGATAAACAGGCGTGCATTATTTAATGTAGCCTAGATAATGGCATAAATTAACAATAACCGGATACAATAGTTTTATATCTGAAATGTGTGAAGGTTAAACTAACCAGAGTTATAAAAAAAAATAAACTTTGAGAAACATCATCTAGGTTGAAACATTGTAACATACTATTTTAAATAAAATGACCTATTGGGGAAAAAAAATATTATTTATTGTTTGATTTCTCTTAAATGTGCAGGCCTTCTTTGCAATTTGACTGATATCACTTGGCAGGTAAACGTGAATGTCTCATGTGACATTCCTAATGCATCCTAAGTAATCAATTGCATTACTGCATTAAAGGTACACTATGTAGGCTAATTTTTTGTTGTTGTTTAAAAATCATTTCAAAATGAGTCGATACATCATGAATCCTTCTTCCAAACGTGTTTTTGTCTAACACTGAATTCACAATGGTAAGCCTGTTAATAGACGGGTTTCTGGTATACAAACAATACTGGATGCGCGCGCATTCAGGGGGCAAAACCGCTAACAGGTGTTATGACGAGTTCTGCATGCACCTCACGGTAGATAACAGTGAGTCAATGCTGAGAAATGGTGGATGCAAATATCTGCAGGTAGCCGACAATATTTGTTCTGCCGAATTATTTATCACCATTAATGATCCCACAAAGAATAGTAGGCCTATATCGTTTTTAAACAGTAGCCTAGGTGAATGCAATTCTTGGCATGTAACGTTATGCAGAACTCGGCAATTAACGTAGATTTTGCATTGTTTGTAAATTCTTGTTGACTCAATAATAAACTGCCATTTCAGAGTTGGATCTGTTTGTCGTGAGGAAATTGCTAGCATCAATTACAGCGTGGACTCGGCTGATAACTCTCAGTAATGGTGAGACATTACCAGATCCCTACACTATTTCAGACCACGAATGGATCACATGTTCAAGTGGCCAGCAATCATGTGGCCCGATAGGGCCTATACACTTATTTAAATGGACTGTTTTCTATTTTAATATATTTTTAAAATGTTATTATTCCTGTCTGTGATCAAAGCGGAATTTTCAGCATCATTACTCCAGTCTTCAGTGTCACACCACACGATCCTTCAGAAATCATTAATATGGTAATTTGATAAAAACATTCATTATTATTATCAATGTTGAAAACAGTCGACACGATCGTGTAAAAAAAAATCAGGATTCTTTGATGAATAGTTCAAAAGAACTGGATTTATTTGAAATAGAATCTTTTGTAACATTATAAATGCCTAGTTACTGTAACTTTTGATCAATTTAATTCATCTTTGATGAAAAAAAGTATTGACTTCTTACATTTTAAATCCATATTTTTGGCGGTTAGTGCAGTTTACAGCACAACAGCTCCGTGTCATCTCTGTTTGATATGCCATGAAGAGTGCTGCTTTCTGCCTCCTAGTTGCGCGCGCATATCTGTGATGACATTGCACAGAAACCAGTCTATAAGTGTTCCCTTTCAAGGCGGTCACTTCGACATTACGTCATACTGACGTATATGGGAACTCCTCCCTTCCCATTTTCACTGAAATCTTATAGGTTAACGCCAGCTGGAGACAGCTGGCCAATTGACGCAAAACATGCAAATGCTGACCGGTCCGCGGGCAGTATAAATAGCATGGGCGCGACAATTACGTCAGAATCTCTTTCTTCACGGTACAAGTCTTATCTGAAGTCATCGTGGAAGTTGCAATAGAGGTTACTCACCATGTTTCCTCCCCGCATCCGATGGCTGCAACATGCCAGATATGTGCGGTATTGACTCGCTCTACCCAAACAAGGATCTACCGAGGCCGCACTCACGGACGACAGGCATACGTGCTGGTCTACCAGTGCGCGCCCTCATAAACCCGGGCATCAGCAGGGATGAGGCCCACTGCCGCCAGCGGCGGCTGGTGGGCCCTCTCACGCCCAAAGAAGAGTTGACAGTCATTCTCCCCTGTGGCCCAGTGGCGGAACCCGAAGCCTTCGCGCGAGAGACCCGTGTTCGATCCCGGCTCTCGCAGCAGATACATTTTAACCTGCCCGTCGCCTCTCCGGTCCTTTTCGCGGGCTCGCTAGAAGGACTCAACGCGATAGGCTTCGTCGGAAAGGATACTTTTATTATTTTACTTAGCCCGGTATCTAACAGCCAGGCTACTTCAAGAAAGTCTCCGTCTTCACGACGTCCTATGGTAAGTCATGCGAAGACGCATCCAGAGAGACGAGGCAAGGCCATGGCTCTGTGTCTAAAGGCGCGAAAGTGGTTGTTTCCCCCTGTGGCTCTTTGGTAAAACCCAAAGCCGTCGCACTGGGACCCGTGTTCGATCCCAGCTCTCACAGCAGATAAGATTTAGTCTCGCCGCGGCCAGACATTAAACCGAAACTTTTGATCTCTATACGTCCAGCCTTCCTCGATGTCTCTCTTCGTCGGCACCTCGTCCCGCCTAATTCGGCTACAGCCGCCAAAACGGTTCGAACCCGAAACGAACCGGATCTTCACCATTGGCAGAGGGCGGGACCGGGAATGTGGCGACACAGGCCACGGAGAGCGCCGCGTCAGGACGCCCCGCTCTGGTAATGGAGGTGCACAGCTTACAGCTTATGTCGTCAGGCTGCCCTGTATCCTTCAGTGCAACTGGCCATTCTGATTTAACCACGTATCCACAGTTGTTGTCGCTACACCACTGACGCTGTGTTTATGTTCAGACTACACACTGATATGTGCTATGATTTGTGCCGTCATATATTGCCCTGTTTCTTTCAGTGCGAATGGCTATTCTGATTACCACGTATTCACAGTTGTTGTCGCTATGCCACTGACGCTGTGTTTATGTACACACTGCACACTGATATGTGCTATGATTTAACTGTTATATCCTTATATATTGCCCTGTATCCCTCAGTGCAACTGGCTATTCTATTAACAACGTATTCACAGTTGTTGTCGCTATGCCACTGACGCTGTGT